CATAAAAATAAATTTACTTGTAGAAGGACAATATAAATAAAAACAAAAGGAAAATTTATCTAAGCTGATGTCTTTCATCTTTTGATGGACTTCATCAACGCAATTGTAAGGATTTTATTTTTTACAAGTATTTATGCACATAAGTAAAAATATCATTAGATTTAGAATTTTTAAATTTAAGAATGCTAGTAAATATACATCAGGCTATCTTAAAATCAAAGTAAATCATGGAAGGTGCTAAGTGATATAATTTAATGTCTAATAAACAAAAATCAGTAAATGTTACTAAATTTTTTATATAATGTAATTATTATTTATATTATTTTGCTTTGAGATTAATTTATGCATTATATATTTTAAATAAAAGGAAATTATGAATTTAACCATTTTCTTTTAATTTTTTAACATTTTTATCGTCATATGTTGGCTTGGGAAAAGAGTAATTCTATCAGGAACGGCGATATTTGAAAAAATCTGAGGTTTAGAGTTATATTTTGGTAAGATTCAATAATGACACTAGCAAGAAATTTCTGTGTAAGTAAGTTACTTTCTCTTTTAATAAATGTGTCATTCTTTAGAGAAAAGTTGTGGTTAAACTTATTTCTATGTATGGCTATTTGAAAAAATTGTTGTGTATAAGATCCTGGATACATTTTTAAATTTCTACCAATTTCCCTTATATATTGTAAGGAACGTGTTGCAAAATAAAATCCTTACATTTTGCCAGAGGATGAAATGTGTAATCTAAGTTTTCCTTTTGTCTTTTTATATATATATATATATATATATATATATATAGTTAAACCTAGAGAGTCAGACAAACCTACCAAGGTTTCACCTAAGTGGATCATCAGGGATCGCCGGTTGGGTACTCACACCGGGGTTTTTTTCTTTCGGCCTTGAACTCGTATGCTGGACGATTATTTTTGGCTAACGTACATGTTCTTGGTTCTTTTTTTTTTATACTTTTTTTTCTCCCTTTGGTGTTGGCTTGTTTATTTGCAAATCAATACACCGAAAGTTTTCCGAGTGAGTATAGTTTCTTATACTTATAAGATTTCCATTAATATATATATATATATATATATATATATATATATATATGTTTGATGCAAAATAATATTGCTAAAACTTATACTCAGAATAAATATACATTTGTTCCTCACCGTTTAGTTCAACTCTGATTAGAAAAAAGAGAATATATATGTATACAAATATGTGTATGTGAATATATATATTTTCTAATTCAATTTTTTTGTTCTGCAGAAGGATGCTGAGAATATTATGAACTAAACATGTGAACAACAATGAATTTTTAGAGAAAATGGAAACAAAAAGAACACTTATACTTAACATCAGAAAGAGAGAAATTTCTAAGACACATAAGGAGGAAAGAGGGATTGGAAAATTTGATACTTACAGGACAAATTTAAGACAAGAGAGACAGAGGAAAACAATGCATAACCAACTTAGCAAGCTTGAGTAATTGATGGAAAAACAAAAACAGTTTAATGTAACTACCTCTTCTACTCCAACAGCTTCTTCTCTCTGCACTTCCTGCCAGTGAAACTCCCTTCCTCCTGCTTGCTTCCCTGATAGCTTATAATCTTCAAATATTCAGATGTAATGTCAATCGACATCTTCTGATGTCATGATCCTGATCCCTGTCCTTCTTTATATACTTTCCTCAAACACCCCTCTTTACTCTTGCTCTCACTCTCTGTAACCCACTGCAAGCTAATGGCATTCCTGCCTTGCTTGGGGTGAAATGCTTAAAAAAATATATATATATATAAAAACCTCCAAAAATCTCTGAGTTCACATATGGACAATAACAATAAAATTCTTTTTCTTGATATACTGATGGACACTAATAATAATATGTTTACTACCTCTCCATATAAAAAAATAACTAGCATAAATATGTGCACTTTCAACTATAAAAGTAAATGCCCTATTACAAAACAGCAATTATACCAAATTTAATAAACCGTGCAAAAGTTAACTTTTCTACACTGAATTAAACAAACATTAAACAAATTCTCATTAATAATGACTTTCCTAATTACATTGTTGATGAACAAATTAGACAAGCTATTAGAAATACTAACATAAATAAAAAAGAACACATCCTCAAATAAGCCTAAACATATCAACCTACTATGTCATAAACAAATGCACTCTTAACGACAAACATGATGAAAAAATCATAAAAAAAAACTCATAACTATCCCCCACTGATCCCAGTAAAAAAAATGAAACTTATTATATACTATACTAAATTTAATACAACCATCATATATATATATATATATATATATATATATATATATATATATATATATATATACACACAAACAAACATATATGTATGTATGTGTGTTTGTATAATTATCAATCAATAAAATTATTATTATTGTTCTAGTTATCACTGAGTACAATTATTGTCAAAATTCTACTCACCTTGACATACATTAAATTATGTATTTTTATATTAATAGGTGTTATTGTTATCATTATTATCCGTTTACATAAATATTTATATTTATGTGTATGCATACATGTAATGGCTGGCTACTTATTTTTCAAGCACACCCATTTGCTAAGCGCACTTTAGTTACTGTTTCTAGATGAGAGCACATAATCTGGCATGATCAGTAGTTTGAATCATGACTGTACGCTCAAACCCTTGGTCACAATGATTTGTCACTTTATGCTAGTACGACCATTGACTGTTTGCAAACAGCTCCATATTACCCAGTCTTACTCATAAGTGGCATGGTTTTCATGCACTTTTCAAAGGTGCTGGGAAGCAATCCAAGCATGCATTGCCTTCCTGATAAATCAACCATGCTGAGATACAAACCCGGGTCCTCATGGTCTGAAAAGCGTACATTCTACCCACTTGGCTATGTGTGCTACATCTACACACACACACACACACACACACACATATATATATATCTCATATGTATAATTATGTGGCTATCTCTTGCTTGATGAAAGACAAAAACCAAGCTGGAAACCTTCAGGTGATTTGTTACACACCTAATCAACCCATACACCAATCAGTAAAAGGAAAATGTATTTTTTTTAAGAGTGAAATTTCGAAAACAACTCATGGGAAAGCAGGATAGAAGCAGGAGTGGGATGCTGTGTTAAGGTCAGGGGGAGGGGCAAGTGTTGAGTCACCAAATGAGGTGGCAAGTAATTGTAAAGGTTGGATTAAGGGAGGGACTGTTTTTTTTTTTTCGATTTTGTTGAAGTCATATCAAATTGAAAACAAACCAAGTATTTTGATGGTGTTTTTTTTTCTGTCTTCCTTTAACTTTTTTGTTTTTCATTGTAACCAGAACTGTAGACTTCTTTTGCCTTATTTTCTTTTCTGTAAAAATATCATCCAGGACTTTGGGGTCATTGTGAAGAATACATTTTTAGAGAACATTAAGAAAGCTAGTGCAAACAATGTTGATTGAGTCCAGATAGAGAAGTCACAATGTTATATACTGATTTTTAAGGCAAACAAACTATTTCTACTTGAAAGATTATGTGAAGTCAACCTTGCTACTGTTAATCTACCTCAGTAAATTAAACTTTGTAACTATCATATATTTTGTTTTCTTTTAAATGCAATGTCTCTTCAGGATGTAGGGTAGGTGAGCATGACTCTCTTCAAATTCTCTTTATCATCTGTGAATTGACATGAATTCTTGGGAAAGATAGTGGAGTGGTATTTCTTTTCCTTCTTTATGGTTTGGAATTCAGAATTTTCCTTCTCTAAAATGAAGATGACTGACCTTTTTCTTTTTACTAACATGTACGAGTTTAAGCAACAAGGCTTGAGATCTCAGTCTACTCTGCTATTTAACCCATATCTGAGGGAGAAAAGACTGATTCATGTCTTTCCCAAGGGTACCTTATTTAATTAATAAAACTAAACCATTATTATCTTCATACAATATTTAGATTTTGGTATTAAATAACCCATAAAAGTTGGTATGGCACTAAAGAAAAACAACCAATCATCCAAAAACTTCAGACAGAAAAATTAATTTTTTTTTGCAATAAATTTTTAAATAATAAAATCACGAGCTGTTTGTGTCTAAATAGTTTCCCTACTCAGGAAAATATTCCAAAATTCATCTTACCCCTCCAATGGCAGAAGTTACCTAACTCAGTATCAAAACACCTCTGTGTAATACATTAAATGTATACAATTATAAACACTTAAAATTATGATTACATCAAAACAATGTTGAAATATAAAAGCAGAGATAAGGATTTACAATTCATCAGCTAAATAATTTATTCCTTGCCAAATTATCGGTGCATGTTCTAGGGCAGAGATCAGGAACCATCAATTTTTCCCTTGAGGAATTAGTGAAATGACATCATGAAATATGGCTTGGCCAATCAAATTTAGTGATTTTTCAAGTTTTGATTTCACCTTGTGTATACCTAAACACATGTAACTGATACTTGGCCAGATTTTTGTACAATTGTGCAGGAAGGTTTTGTCTTTCTTGGCATTTTATCAGTCTTAATCTCATCTATTTTTAGTGTCAGCTTAAAATTTATGACTATTCTGAAATGTTTTTATCCATGAAATGTACAAAATGTACAACCACCAGGAATTGTTTTGGTATGAATATCATTGCTGTGTTCATTAAGCAGAAGACAACAAATTATGAACCTCAAATTAAAGCATTAGCAACTAAAATATACCAACAAGTTTCTCATTAAAAAAAAATATATCGGTATGTACATAAGTGACCTATATATGTTGCTGGAAAATTTCAAAGTACTAAAAATGACCTGGCAACTATAATAGTTTATCATCTCTGTTCTAGGATAACTCAAAAGAACATAACTGACCTTTATTTAAATGTTATGCATGACTTTAAGATGGGTTGGTGGATTTTATGATATATCAACCTTGTTGGTTAATTTCATATCAAAATCAGTTTTTTTTATTATACTTGAGTCTATAGGGCATAGGCATACGGTCATATCATATTAAAACACCAGTTCCCCTACAATCACTGAAGTTAAGCAACACCAAGCCTGGTGAGTACCTAGATGGATGACTGCTTGGGAATACCAGGTGCTGTAAGTTTGGATGTGTGGATGGTATAATGGATAATGACTCAGAATTGTTAATCAGAGTGCTGAGTTCCAATTCCAGTTGGGTTTGTTATATTCACTTATGTGCAAATAAAGGATGAAATCACCTCTTCTCCTCCAGCTATGGGTTAATTTATAAAACTTGTATCATTAAATCATTATTATCTCAAAAAAAAATTCTTTCAATCTAAAAATATTTTCTGGCTTTAAATAACCTGCAATGGGTTGATAAGCCATAGAAAAGAAATCAATTAATGAGTCTATAGGTAGACATTGGTCAGGTGCTGCAGCTACTACTTCTACCTTAACTAAAAGCAATAGCAACCAAAATTTAAAAGAGGTAAAAGGAAATGGAATAAATTTCAACATTTAGATATTTGCATGTATTTTTATATAACTAAGCAATGATTAACAAAAGAGACTACACAGCTGAAAAGGAAAGGAAAAACTTAGCTATTAGGAATTTTGTGTGTCTGTGATACACACAAGGAATGTTCCCCATTGGTTCTGCTACATCTTGGAGCAAAAAGAAAGAAAGAGAAAGTGGAAAATTGTATTCTTTCTTTTATAGTCCTAAGATAATACCACCTAACAGGCATGTCGGTAGACCAAGTGGAGAATCCTCACAGTGTTTATACTTGAATCTACAAGCATCCACCTAGAGCTGGCACCTTTTTGCGGGCTCTTATCCTCCAGCAGGGAATACATTCTGCGTATTCTTGGGCAATGAATGTCCCACTGACAGAACAATGAATGAGCCTTTATTTCATTCTGCCTGACCAACTATGGCAATAAAGTATTAATTCACAAATAAGGTCCAGGGGAAGATGCTTCTATTGAAAATTCAAGTACCATTCTTTATGTCTGTTTTTAAACCATTCTTCAAATATTTAATTAAAGAAACTAATAAATCACTTAATACATATGATATTAGATGCCTTCAAAGTAAAATTGATATTAACCAACTGACGTTTGTAAAATATTTAGGATGTACTTATAAATATGCCACTTGAATCTTAGCTTATAGTAAATATTTCTAATTAAAAAAGATATAAGTTGTGCGATATTCTATTATGCAATTCAAGGATTGTCCATCATATTGTAAATAAATACACATAATGCATCAAAAATATTTCCCACATTTTAAACTGTTACCTGTGCTAGTGAACTTAGGTAAGTAACAATAGTACCTTCATCTTCACATATTATCAGGTACCATAATGACTTGGACCACACCAAGCATTTACTGTTGAAACATTTTAAAGACTGGTGAATCTGTAATTTCATGTCATGTCAGAATAATGGTGTTCGGGATAAAAAGCGATACTGCTATGTGTTGAAAATTTTAGGGCCACATGTTCAGTGCTTAAAAGAAAGCCACCTGGAAGACCTCAAAGCACTCAAACTTCCAGGTGATGGAAAGCTTTAGAAATTGTCTACAATAGAGTATAGTGAATAGAGACCACCATTTGAAGGATCTCATTTTTAAAATGAAATATCTTTCTCTCTATCTCTCTCTCTATATATAACGATGTATAATTTTATATATCAACAAACAGTATTTACAAAAATATGACATATTTTTCGAAATTATATATATATATATATATATGTATATATATATAAAAACCTCTGTGACTTCTGTTAGTCCATCCATCACCCTCTAAAATAGCTATACATTAACCGATCAAAACCAAATTTTGGGGAGAAGTGAAAACAACTAAGAAAGTACAAAGTACAGTTGGTTTTACTAGGCTTAAGCTTAGTACAATAAATTTTCATTAATTTTTTTTGAAAAATTAAATGTTTTATTATTTAACATGCAAATTATGCCCACTATTTTAAAAACAATGATTAAAATAATACTTATTTAACAAAAATTCCATATTGTTTATTGTAAATGCACAGCAGTAATGATTAATGGCTGGCCACTCATATTTGGAGGATACCCATTTACTAGAGTGGCTAGTTAATCCCTATTGCAGACACTTTCTCAGGCACATTGTGTTTGTTCAACACCCAAAGAGCCCACCTGTGGTTTATACTGCAACTATGCTGAGCAGACCTTAGTTACAGTTTCTGGACAAGGCCAGTACATTCAAACCCTCGGTCACAATGACTTGTGAAATTGTGCTAGTACAGCCATCAACGAGTTCTGTCTACCCAATTTCACTCACCAGGCTTAGCTCAACCCATGTTATGGTTTTCAGGTATATTTCCAAAGGTGCCGCACACTTGGATTGTCACCTCCAGACCGATAGCTTCAAGAAGTCATCTTCTTGACAAATTGACCATGTTGAGATTCAAAAACGGGTCTTGTTGTCAAAAAGTGACGATTCTAACCACTCAGCCATGTGCACATGTAGTAGTAACACTGTAAATATGAACAGTAGGGAGGGTTTCAAATGGATAGAGGATGTCAAGAGTAGTGGTGATATAAGTCAGACAATGCATGGTTGGCTGGAAGGAAAGTTGAAGTATGCAGATAACCTCACTAATGGAAATGATATTCTACATTTCAATGTTGAGTATTTGAATATACTAGTGCCAAACGGATTTACAAGACACAACCTATTGTTGGAACTAGGAATGTCATTAATGCTATTTTGCAATATAAATCATTGGGAAGGCCTGTGTAATGGAACAACTCTTATGTTCAATAAACTTATTGACAACAGATTACTACAATATACAGTGTTTGGAACAATTTCCAATTCACTCTGCTTTAATGAGAAAATATAATTAAATCACAAGGCCAAATGCTTTAAAAAAGATGGAACTTGGCTCCAGAAAGAAATATTTGCACATGATCAGCTGTATGTTGCATGCTCAAGAATAAGAAATCCTAAGAATTTATTCTTTGTTGCTAAAAAAGGAAAAAAAGAAATTTTCTGAAAAAATATTGTTTATCATGAAGTCTTTTAAAATTAAATTAAAGAAATTATTAAACTGTGAAGTAGGCTTTTGTCAAAGAATTTTTCCAAACAAATCAGCTTATACAAATTTCAATTGGTTTAAGAAATTGAATGAAATGTAGAGTTTGTAAATCTTGACAAAAAATGTTAGTGATAACTTCAACAATACTAAATACTGTGAGAATTTCAACATGCTGATGCTTGTTGAAATAGTAAATAAAAACTGTAGCTCTTTGTTTAAATCAAAGTGAAATACATTTTTTAGTAGCAGTTATCTTTGTCTTTTTATGTGGGAGGTATTTCTGCCGCACACAGTATATATAGTTTATTTTTTTAAATTTCAAAATATATATTGCTATATCCCATAAGAGTAATATAATGTTAAAAGAGAAACAAGATATTGCAACATTATTGGGAGATAGGAAGACAAGTTTGAAATTGCTAAAAGATTGTAGAGATCAGAGAATATACAATAAGGAAATTCACTCGTATAGAGTGAATAGATCTGAAGTAAACTTGACAGTAGTTGATGAATAGAATTAAACATAGAAAGAGACAATTTTATGGTACAGAACTGGGAAAAGATACGAGAGAAGGCTTAATTGTATTTAATGATTTAAATGCTGAGAAGAAGCTGACTAAGAAATTAGTTTCAAAAGATTAAATGTTGGTGAAGAGTTCTCATAGAATCAAATCAAAATATTGTCTTGGAGATAACTTAGTAAAACTGGGTACAGCTTGTTACACTCAGCAACTCAGGCAAAAGTGATGACAAGTAATAAATTTCTTCCTTGGTTGAAATAAAAAAAATAAACAAAAAAGATCACTAAAAAATCTTTAAATTGAGTTGCTTACCTAAAAACCTATGCATTATATTGGTGTGGTTTTATAGGCAGAATAATTTCTGAGAAAAAGTTCTTTCTCCAAAAGAAATATACCCAAAACTCAGCCAAAGCTAATTAATTCTGAAAACCCCCTCTCCCAATTCATGTGCTGTAGGGTTTGTTAAAGACATATTTACTGGTGGTCTTATAGGAAGAATAAAGGAATGCCTCATTAATACATTAACCATGAGCTTTCTGGAGCAAAGGTAACTCTTGAGGATGTAAATTAATGATCAAAATCTTACCATTGGTAACAAGTCAGAAGAAACAGGAAGCCATAAAAGTGGGGAAAGGCAAAATGCTTCTTGTTGCATCAATACAATCAACAGCTAAATAAACAATATTTGTTAAAATCTTGTTAAAGTATTTTCTTTTTTTGTCATTATTCCAAGATTATGATTAGTTTTGAGAAACCATCAACTTTACTTTTGTGTGATATATGTCAGACTACGGTCTGTGCTGTTTTAGCCCTGACTTCTTCAGACCTTCTAAACACCATATGGGTGGAAGAATCTCTGATCTTAGATATAACTGAATCACTGACAGGAATACAAGTTTGTCAGTCATCTGTAGTCTTACGCTTAGTTGCCATGACCAAGAACTTCCTAGTGTTGCATTTAGTTTGTTCATGTAATTTATCAATATTTTTTAACAAAGATGGATATTATAAGCTGAAACTCAAATTATATCTTGCTCCTCTAAATATATTCTGAAAATTGTATGCACAGTGGTTGCTTAATAATAACTTTATTATGAAAAACATTGATTTGCATAAAAAAATCTCAAAACGTTACAGGTGTAGAGAGGTCACCATTTGTAGAGGGATTCCCTGCCTCTCAAATTTATATTTATACAAAATATGACAAAATATGAAATAATAAAAGCACGCAAAAATTGTTTTTACAATAACAAACACTATTCATATTTATGTCAATGATGTACAAGTATAATTTATAGGAGTTACTTCCCTTTGACTGGAATTAAAGTCTTTATTAATGAAATATTTTTATCTGAGCTCATAGAAAGTTGAATGAACTTGCTGCTCAAAATGTTCACCATGAGAGAGTTGAAAGAATTCTGTAACTTGAAGTTGAAAGTGTGAATGTTCCTAATGTTCCATATATATGTGTATACATGTGATGTTTTCATAGCATTTGCTTGTAAGGGGTCAAAATGCGAGTTCTTTAGTT